GAATTTGACAGGAAGCCAGTGCAAGGACTCCAGGATAGGAGTAATGTGATCACTTGCACTAGACCTGGTCAGGATCCTGGCTGCTGAATTTTGGATATACTGCAGTTTGTTCAAAGTAGATTTAGATACCCCAGTGGGTAGAACATTACAGTAGTCAATTCGAGAGAACACAAATATGTTGATCATATTATGTTAGTGATAGCATAGGGCCTAGTCTAGTGATATGTCTGAGGTGAAAAAAAGATGTTTTGACAATATGCTGCACACGTGGGTCGAATGTTAAGCCAGAGTCGAATATCACCCCAAGGTTTTTCAATTTAGACTAAAGCTCAAGTACAAAACTATCTACAGATAGGGTTAAAGGATTGGCTTTACGAAGTTGATGGGGGGTACCAATAAGCATGACTTCAGTCCTGTCACAGTTAAGATGAAGGAAATTTTGAGCCCTGAGGAACACCAGACTTAACAAGACCAATTTCAGACCTATACCCATTAAGAGAGACAAAGTGACAGCGATCAGTGACGTAAGACTTAAACCATTAGAGAGCAGTGTCAGATACTCCAAACACAGTCTCAAGATGAGTAAGCAAGATATCATGGTCAACAGTGTCAAAAGCAACACTGAGATCAAGAAGGATGAATACAAAAAGAGAACCAGAATCAGAAGCTATTGAAGATTGTTAATGACTTTGACCAGGGCAGTTTCCGTGCTGTGAAATTGACGGAAGCAAGATTGGAGGGGTTCAAAAAGGTTATTTGTCATGAGGTGGTTTTGTACCTGGAATGTAACAGCACGTTCAAGAATTTTTGCAAGAAAGGGTAAGTTGGAGATGGGGCAAAAATTGTTAAGATTGTCGAGAGCCATGTTCGGCTTTTTTGGCACAGGGGTAATGGCAGCAGTTTTGAGGACAGTTGGTACAATGCCAGTGCTCAAGGATTCATTTATAATATTTAGGACAATGGGACAGAGAGAAGAGAAACAAGACTGAAATAAAGTGGTGGGAATGGGATCTAAAATAGATGTGGTGGGTTTCATGTGTTTAACTAGTTAACTGAGAATGAGACATCCTGACAATATTCTTTTCACCAACAGAAAGTAATAATAAACAGAAAGGATAATAAACACAAACATTTAAAATAACTGTGAGTAACGATAACTTTTATTTTATAGAAGAGGATAATGAATAAGCTGCTAATTGTATTTTCAAGGGAGGTATGACTCTGTAAAATAAATGGTGAAAATGTGAAAGACTAGAAAGAAACACATTTAAACTGTTGATTAGTAGTAAGATACTAATATTAATATATTCAGTCTTTTTCCCAAAGGGACCACCCGGACATCCAGGACTAAAAGGTCAAAGAGGAGAAAGGGTAAGTCTTGAACAGAAGAGTATTTAAGTACATTTTTACATGAAGTAGTTTTTTTTAAATCCATACATTTTCAAATTCACTTATCCAGTACGTGATCCCAAGGGGACTCTGTACACGCAACAAGGCGCGAGGTAGGATACAGCCTGGACAGGATGACAGTCCATCACAGGACAGATACACAATTCAAGCACCTACGCACACTTACACCAGGGCCAGTTTTGTTCCCAGAAGGCGATTACCCTGGGTGTCTGTCCTTGAACTGTGAGAGAAAACTGGAGCATCGAGAGGATACCGATGTGAACATGGGGAAAACATACTGAACAAACTCCATGCACATACTGTAGCACCCCAGGAATTTGACCGAGTGCCCCAGCACAATGATGCAGCAATGATAACCAGTGCACCACCGTGCCTTCTCACTGGTATTGTATTTTAGTACATGTAACAGAAAATCTGAGAAAAAATCCGAAATATAAAGACACTCGAATCTCCCCTAAATATATTAGCCTTATTGCATCCAGAAACTGCATAGAGCTTATTCATAAAAAGTCTAACAAATGGAATGTACATTTTTACAGGCCTTATAGGAGACATGACCGGGAGTTTTCCTTGGTGACACGATGTGCCTATGATTTAAATGAAACAATTTATTTTTAAGGGTGAACCTGGCTATGTGCTAGGAGGCGTTGAAGTGATTCCAGGGAGGAAAGGAGAACCAGGCTCACCAGTAAGTGAAGATTCAGCCAGGACATGATTTCTACTGTATATCTAACGTGCATCATGAAAAAGGTCATTCAGCATACAGCTTTTGGGGAAAATCTATTTTTGTTACTTGAATTGACGTTTTGAAATGTATGTCTTTTATAAGGAGAAAAAGTACAAAAAATAAAAGTACTTATTTTATCCCTACAGAGAATGTTGCTATATTATTTGAGATACCATTTACAGTATATGACTTATACCTGTATAAGACTCATATGTATAGTACAGAACTAAGTACTGAATTAACTATCAGTACAGTGATCATGAAGTTACAGAAGTGTGGAGATTTTGGTAAGGTCTTACATTCATGTGTCTATCAGGGTTCTCAGGGAGATTCTGGAATACCAGGGGTACCTGGGCCCCCGGGACTTCCAGGACAGCCTGGGCCACAAGGTCCCCCAGGTACATCTGTCAAGGTAGACAACTGTTCACTGGGTTCATCTCTTATCATGATTCACATACACTGTACACCATTTTTAAATTCTATTTCCTCTTCGAAGTTCACTAAATTCAGCCAAGTTCAGAAACAAATATAGTATTCAAATTAAATTAGAAAAAAAAAGTATTTTCTTTGAAAGGAAAGGGGAACCTACTGTATAATTGTTTTCTTAGGTCAGAACAGAATTAGTAGAAATTCTATATTCCTTTTTGGAATGCTGTACAGTACGTGATTAAACTGTTTGGGAAGACTGTGGAAATATTGCAGGTCATCCTCATTAAGAATGCTAGTTAAACCCTATATTCCAGATCCACTCTATTTCTCTACAAATCCCGGCTAATTAGCTTAATGTAACTGGAAATTTATATATAGTGGTTTGCAGTTGATTAAGTGCATCCTAGCTTGATTGAGGTTCATGATTTCTGTTTTTATGATTTGTTGGCCTGATATTTGTGGGTTTGAAAAGGAATAGAGAGGAATAGAAAACTACCAAGTGGTGTACATTTTTGTCTTTCTTACCAATCTGAAAATAAATCAGTTCAATTCCTTCACAAAACACAATATACAAATACCTTTGAAAACTAACCTAAATGTCCTGAACAAAATGAACTATATATCTCACAAATCTCCAAAACTGTTATGTATTACACAGGACATTAGATGTTTTTTTAAATTGAATTACTGTGCTTGATTTCACCTCAGGTTTGCAATACTGACCTCACTTGCAAGGACAGTATATTTATTTTACAGTTTGTTTCTAGATGTCCTTAAATGCCCATTTCCCTTAAATTATATATTACATTAATATAAAACACAGACATTCAACTTAAAAACAAAGACATTGTGTGTGGAACATTTAACTACAGTATGCCTCTTCCTTTGGTCCAAGCCTAAGATACACACAAGCATAACAAAGTGAAATATGACTTTGATTCATAGAGTAGTGTGGAGTTGTGAAAAATAAGCAAATACTCTCTATTTTACAGGGGGAGCCAGGAGAATCAGGTAATAAAGTAAGTGTTTTTTTTCTTACTGTAGAAAAAGTTGTAAAAAACTACTGAGTATCAATAAATAGATCAATCATCTTGGTATTACTTTTTGACACATTGTGAACTTCCTTTTTGTGAATCCCCTTGGAAAATGTTTACTTTGCTCCCTGCTATGTTCTGAAGATGTTCTTCTTTGATAGTTGTCATCTATCCTGGAGGAAATTAGCTAGTAATTCCTGGAAGAAAGTAACTAGTTTAAAGAGAAAAGATTGACATGCTACCACTTGGTCAGCTATTAAGATTACATGGTCTAAATGGTCATTTCTATGCTGATGACACTCAAATCTACTGTACTGTATGTCCATACTAAAGTGGCTGCCCCTGCGCTGTCTAATTGCATCTCTGACATAAAAACATGGACAAGTGCTATATTTACAGAAATGAGGAACTTGGTCTATAAATAAATCAAAACACTCATTTTGCCAGGTGCTTAGATCCTGATATTATCAGACATTACAAAAGGAAAATGCACTAAATTTGTAAATAAGTACAATTTGGTATTATATTTTTTCCAATTTTTATATTAATTATTTTTGTGGATCAACAGGGCCAGCGTGGAAAGCAGGGATCAAAAGGAGATATAGGTGATCCAGGGAAAAATGTAAGTTTTTGAATATTAACAGAATGAGTTATTAGCTTTACCTAAAAACATTAATTTGAGGTTTTCCAGGTCCACTCAGAGCCATCACAGTCATGGACTAGGGATCTCCAACCCTAGTCATGGAGGGTTTTTTAGATCTCTTTTTATTTGTTCCTTGTAATTTGATATTATTTGAACCTTTGAAATGGCAAGAAAGAGTGCTTTTATAAGATGATTTTAAGGTACAGTATACTATATCACTGAGCTCTTCCTGTAAAGGACTGAGAGTTATGATTTCTTCTTTAAAGGGTGAAGTTGGTCTCCCTGGGCCGATTGGGCTTGATGGGGTTCCTGGATTTCCAGGGCAAAAAGGTGAAAAGGTAATTTTCTTTGTTGGAGTTCATCATTGTACATCTAAATGCACTCAAAAAGGTTAAATCAATAAACAGGGGTTTATTGCTCCAGAAGCTTGCAAGTCAAATTATTTAAAATAATAAATAGTGCATTAAACGTTTATTTACCAATACAACTTTTGCAGTTTTTTATATTAATCCAATTAAGAATGTTACCTGTACTGAAACAACATTATATTAATGTAATATCTGTACACTGCTGTTTCAAAATTATTGTTTTCCAAGAGATGAAGATGTGCTGATTAAATTTCCTTCCAACTATAATTCCCATTAGTACTAAATGAGGGCTTACATGAAAACTTCAGGAAGGATAAAGTATATGATAAAGTACAGTCAGCTCCTCAACTATATTTACATTTTATCTATTATAAAATGCTGCCTTTCACATTCCTTGTTAACATGCTGCTAGAAATAAAAATGTAATTCTTACCATAAAAACTAAGGATAAAGGTTGTATATATTAGTTTCAAATGCATATCCACTGGGCCACTTGTTCTGTGACTTCTATTCTGTTCTATTGACTTGAATCCTAATTCAAAGGAAAAAGAAATCCGGAAACTAACTGCAATTACTAACTTACAGATGTGTTCATATTTTTATGGTACAGTATGTAAACTCCTCTAAGAAACAATAAACAAAATTTTGCTAATTATACAGTTTTAAACAAATATTTTAGATGCGATTGTTATCTTAATAATTTCACCTCAGTATCTCAGAGTAACATCCTGTTATTTTACAATGTTGTATTAATTTTCACTTGAAAAATTTCCTGTTTATAATTTTGAAAATCCATCTCTTAATGAAATGCTTTTAAAGACAACACTCTCTTTAACATATTTCAAATATGTATAAAATAGTCTATTACATAACAGCATATTCTGTACTTATTCGATATTTTAAAATGATCATAAAAAGTGGAGCACATTCTCTGTAAGTAAAATTCACTGTGTAAAAGTTAGAAATGTGTTACATTTAATGGGAATAATTTGTGATGCTTGGATTTAAAACTGGAAATTGACTTGGCCAGTCTAAGATTATCCACCTCTCTTAAAGAACCTTTTAGTTACATTGACCTGTGTTTTGGGTTATTGACATGCTGCATGGTAAAGTGCCGCCCAACAGGTATGGAAGCATTTCCTCCTACGCTAATTAATTCTGCCGCTGCCTTTGTTGGTTCAATTATCAATAAACATGAGAGAACCATCTCATTTAAGAGGCAGCCATCTGCAGTTCGCTTTTGAAAAAAATATTTTGGTCTTATCTGTCCATAAATCACATCTTCAAAACTGCCTGCTTTTCTTGAACTGCAAGTTCTTTGATTTTCATTTTGAGTCGTTTCAACTACAGCCTCCAAACACTGGAGCCAAAGCAAGACAGGTTGAGATAACGCTCTTTTAAGTGTACCTAATTACCCAACAACAAACACACACTGACCGATCGTCCAATACTTTTCCATCCAAATAAATGAAAATCAATGTATTTATTTGACCCTAGAGGGTAGAAATAAATGTACTTTTTCAGTAATAAACTACTTGCTTTTTCATTTTTAGAAATTAAAAAGAGTTTTTATTCAAAATCACACTTCAGACTTTTTGAAGGCTTAATACAGTATTTTCTAGGTAGTTTAGGATAAATCAAATTTATTTTAGCAAATATCACACTTAAAATAAAGTCAGTAAACGATTTCATTATTATTATAAGAGTCCTCTTGTGTGTCTCCACATTATCGCATTTATTTTGACACATTTTAACTTTACTTTCTGTAATGTGAGAATCCTGTTCATTTTAAAATACATTTGCCTTGAATCACCTTCCTGTTCATTTGAATATTCTTAAAATACATTTCAAGATTTATCTTGGACATCATCAAATCACATTAAACGAAGATTTCAGTTTGCCATGCCATGATAATTTGGTTCTCCATACTAATTTTTGATCTGGATAACTGATGAAGCAAAGATAAAGAAAATATCTGTAATGCCCACTTTTACTGGAAAGTTTCCAAATGGATTTTCAGGGCAATGAAGGAATTGGAATTCCGGGAGTTCAAGGTCCAAAAGGGGAGGCAGGTGAAAAGGTATGTTTTGTTTACTTTTTTCTGGAATAGCATGGCGGTGGCTGTAAAGTACAAAAAATATGTCTGTGTTAAATGCTTAATAACTACAAAACAGACAAAATACTTAGATTAAAAATAGATTTTTTGATTATTAAAAGTGCATTATTATTAAGCATGAAATATCCTGGTTAGCACACTGTCTGACATGATGTTTTACCTATTTATTGAGTTTAAAAGAAGCAGATAAATCAGTTAAAAAGCCATATGACTTACATCAATTTCTCAGATAATTTGTTGGGAATTAAGAAACAAATCCAGGTGTCCTGGATAAATTCCCCTTTCTTTCAACTGGTAAAGTCATTTCTCATTTCTCCTTCTGGTCAGCAACTTAGTGGGGCTGCCGGTGCAGAATGACCACCACACCTCACACATGTGGCTGCTGCACTTCAGGGCAAAAATAAGAGGGAATCTTTCTTTTCTTACCTATAAAGAGTCATTCTATATATTAATTGCGGCAATGTGGTCTGAAAGATTTGCATGAACATGTCGTTTGTGTGCACTTATGCACTCTTTATTCATCTTGAGGGTTAATATGTATTCTCTTTGTTTTTGTTAAATGTTTTCAAAAGGGAAATGTGGGTTCTCCTGGTCCTACTGGTCCAAAGGCAAGTCATTTTATTTTTCCTGTTGATAATATAGTCAGGCAGCATGGTGGTGCAGCAGTTAGCATTGCTACCTCATAGGGCTGGGGCCCTGAGCCCAATTCCTGGGGTGCAATCTGTGTTTGTATGTTCTCCCCATGTTTGCGTGGGTTTCCTCCCATGGTCCAGGTCAAGTGGCTTTTGGGAAAACTGACTCGTGTGTGAGTGTCTGTGCCCTGAGGTGGACTGGTGTCCTGCCATAGTGGTATCTTGCCAGGATAAGCCCTGGCTCTGGCTCCCCCTTGAGCCTGCACTGGATAAAGCAGTGAGAAAATGGATGGATGGATCATACATTCTGACCTCCATGAAAGTAATGTAATTATGGAAGGTTTCTTTTAAAATATGATTATGGAACTGTTTCATGTCTTTTGCTATAAAATAATGTTATATATTTATATTTTCAGGAATGTGTAAGGTGACTTACTTTGTCAGGCATTAGCGAAGGATATTCCTCTGTAGGTTGTCAACAATGTACCTGTAGATGTGTCATGTTTACATTTTAATGTTTAAGGGTGAGATGGGAATTCAAGGAATTCAGGGACCCATGGGACCAAGGGTAAGAACCACGTATAATTCAGTGTTGTTCAGTACTAAGTCATTTGTATTTTCCACAGTTACATCAGTGTAGATATACAGTATTTGCACCATTTTCAATTTGAGGTCATACAGTATGTGTAGGATTTGTTTTTAATGCAGTACAATTTTTTTTCCAAAAATATATTTTTTGTGAAATTTTCAGTTTGTTAAAAAAATAAAAAAGTCATTAGATTCTTTTCAGATTAAGGACCACCCTAGGATATGTACTGCATGTAAGAGCGTTATTTTATAAAATGTACCAAGAGTTAGAAATGGAATAGAGATAGAAATTAATAGTTGCTTATTGCTACTGTTCTCTGCAAATTGCGAATTCTGAAATCCAAGCTTTGCTATTTTGGTTTAATAAAAATAAATGGATGCTAAGTTTTAAGGGAATTTTCACTTTCCCTAAGGAAACAAGAGCATGAGGAAGATTTCACAGCAGTGTAGGCTGTTTGATTTCCTCCATGACATGTCAGTTTTGTTGAAGGAATCCTGTGGTTTGGCTCTGCACTGTGACTTCATGTCACTCAGCATGGGTCCTGAATAAGCAGGCAAACTAAATTTCAGATAATGTGTTAACTCATATTTGCATATCAGTATTAATATAATTACTAATGACTTGTCAGAGTGACATAAATGTGATATGTTGTTTTATTTTTAACATATAGGGGAAAAAGGGCTTGAAAGGGGACAGAGGGGATAAGGTAGGTCCAATCCAGTCCTTACCTTATCTCTATTTCCTGCTCATTAGAACTATAGCAGACCAGAGTATTTGAAACATGGTGCAGAGGTCAAGAACTATTTCAAAAAGAAACACAAAGTATCAGACTCTTTTACCTCAAAATCGATAATAACATTCCAAGCCTTAACGTCAGTATCTCCTATGCATACTAATTTGGCACAAAAGGTAGTTTTAAACTTCTAATTAGTGTCTGATCAATAATTGAAGTGATTTGATGTGATATACAGTATGAGAGCTAATTACGGTTGAGTATGTTTGACTGCATTAGAAATGTCCAGCAGGAGATGTTGGATCGGGTACAAAGTTAATTAGCAGAAGGAAATGAAAGGAAGGAAGGAGAGAGACACAGCTCACAAGGCTTGTGATAAAAAAGACATTTCAAATCTCAATGTTGTTTACAACAACAGGGTAATCTAGAAAGAAAAGGTGACTTTCTGTTTAGGTTACCTAAAAAGTGACAGGAATACTGTATTTTACAAAGGCTGTCTAATCCTATTCCAATTGTTATTGGAAGATTTTCAGGTTTCTATTAATATTGTATATTTCACATACTGTATCTATTTTTGTTCTGCTTTATTTGTCTTTCCACTCCTGTATTTCATATATTTTGTTAAAGTCAGTGAAGTACTCTATCAGACAAAGTTATTATCAGTTTCCTATTTAAAATATAGTTTGCTGGTTGGAATTCTCCCGTTAGAAGTGCATCGCTTTTCATTCCTGTTCTGTAGGCAGATCCTATACCGATGATTTTCACTTCCACACAGAGCTCTGATGTGGCTTTTGATAGTGCACCAATTTTACAACTCCTCTGGTTTTCTTCCAGGGAGATCGTGGCGAAATGGGACCAATGGGACCGCAAGGAATTACAGTAAGGAGAAAAACATCTAAATGGATTTTTTAAACATAAAACCAGAATACATAGTATAACTTATTAAATAGAAAAGTTATTTTTCTGGTTTCAAAAGAAAGAGCCGTCTCCCTTGCAAAGGTGCCCTGGGGAAATCAGTATCTTTTGATTAAACTTCCTGGAGCAGGGGGAATTGAATCGGCCTACTGTATGTTCTCTTTTCCATCTAGTAATTGGATTTAGCTACAGGTCCAGATTGAATACCCGTGAATATTTAAAGTATGTCTTCGAAAATTAATATTAATTGATATTGACATACAATAAAAAGAATTAAAGCAGTCCCGAAGGCACACCTCCTCCGAAGATACTAAAACATCTTATAAGAGGTCAAACAAATCAAAGAGTTCACACTGTAAGTTGATTTAAAGTAACACTTGGTGCAGCGATTCTTCTTTGTGTAGTGATGTTTACCTTCATTGATTTTTGAACCATTTAGTCTCTTAAGAGTAAATGCCTGCCCAAGCTCTTTTATGAAAATATATTTTCAATGTTTTTTTTTGCCAAATTAAAATATGAAAATTTCCCTACACTATTTCATTGGCCTAAACCACAGAGATTTATCTGTCTTGCTGAGGTTTAGATCTAAAATATACTTATATTGAGAGGCAGTAAAAAATCAATGGTTGTTGTTGGTCCCAATACTCGTTTATTAAGTTTAAATGCTTCTCCATATATTTAGACTTTTTATCTATGTTAATTTAGTTTCTTTAGTTTCACATTATAAAAGTAATATTTTGGAAGATACTAAATTTCCTCTAATTATAGTGTTGTTACTGGGGGGAGGGGGGGGGGCTACATCAATTTAATGTGTGTAATATTGTGTGTAATTTTAGTCTTGAGTATATAAGTTGTTATAAAAATGATAAAGCCTAAACATGTTCATTGAATGTGTTTAAATGTCCGATTTAAACTGTCGTTGATAATGACTAAAATAGATTAATTTATAGGAAATTTGTTTCTGTACTGAGGACATAAAACAAGCACTAATGATGAGTACTGTAAGAAGCAGTTGCCAGTTTGTTACATAATGATGAAACAGTTGAAACCTACAGTAAGTTGGTGCGCTTCTCTGCTCTTTAGGGGCTACCTGGTCCAATGGGAGCAAAAGGAAATGAAGTAAGTGATTGATTTGCCATTCAGTCTGATCAAATTGCAAATGGAAATATTGTGATAAAGGATCACTGAAATTGTGTGTTTTTCTTCTTTACAGGGAATTCGAGGACTTCCAGGAGATCCAGCAAAAGGGGTAATAACCTCATCCACAAGTTGTTAGTTTGATTAAAAAGGTTATGTAATAAGATTAATCATGCTCTGTAGAATTTTTCAGCCACTGACTTTTTTTATTTGTTCAAACAATGTGTTTGCTTTAAAGGCCTTTTCATGCTTTCCCAACACCAGCTGGACGTTCACAAAGTCCAGCTGTCAATCTGGTGGCAAAGTCACCAACAGAACGGAAGGTTTTCAACCCAGATTTGATGTATTGCAGGCTGCAAAAGTAAATGTGAATGCAGGACAGTTACCTTCACAAAGGTTAAACTATGTGGATTATTAGCCAAAACACAATCACAGTGTATTTTCACATGAACTGCTTTTAAATACAGGTGCTCCCCAGGGTTGTATATTGTCACCTCTTCGGTTTTCTATATACTAATGAGCTACAGATTCAGAGTAGCACAGCCAGTCTATTTAAATATGCAGATGACATGGTTCTTGTGGGACTCTGCTCAAAGGACCAACTTCTAACTGAGCAAACTCACTTTGAACACATCAGTATCCTTGAAAACTGGTGCCAATTCAGCACATTGGAAATAAATGTGACCAAGTTTCTTTTCAATGCTTAAACTGACAGTGGGCAATCTTTGCTAACAATAGTACTCAATGGGAAGTCTATAGAGGTTGTGGAGAGTTTTAAATACCTGGGAACACATATTGGCTGAGTTACACTGAGAATATAAACATTTTTAAGAAAGCAAGTCAGAGGCTGTTTTTAATTCAAATACTAAAGAACTTTAATGTTAATCAAACTGTCCTAGAGAGTAGATAGACAGATAGAGATGTATAAAGAGATACCCTGTACACGTAAAAAGAGAGAGATAGAGAGCATATAAAAGCCTTGTTGAGAGCATCCTGGCATTTAGTATGACAGTTTGGTATGGAAATGTGGGGTTTAAAAGCAAAACCAAGCTTTCCAGGATTGTGAAAATAGCAGGAAAAATAACTGGGAAAATGCAGCCCCAGCTCAGCGATTTATATCATAATATAGTTCTCAGAATGGCAAGGAACATCACAACTGATTCCATCCATCCTCTCCATTCTGTATTCATCGTACTCCCACTGGGGAGACAGTATAGGGTACCAAATTCAAATAAAAACATTTCTGAGAAGTCCTTTGCCCCCTCTGCAATAGAACTGCTCAATGAAGTTATGTAAATGTACTCACTCCACAATCTATTTATTTCTCCATTTATTTATGCATTACATACTGTTGTTGTGATTTTACGTACCTCATGTGATTTTATGTTTTGCTTGTTGTGTTTTGTACCTTTATGGGAGAAGCCAAAGACAAATTTCGACAGTAGTGGACAATAAAGTATCCATCCATCCATCCATTTATCCATCTATCTATCTGACCACTGAGAGACTAGAGTCTGGTGTCAAAAAAAGAACAAGAGCTTTCTGGGAAGGCAGAGAGGTCCGTGAATTAGAAATGATAAGGTCCATCAACAGCAGTATGAGATTTAAAGGAGTTTGGAAGTTCTATCAGAAATATTGGCCAATAGGCTAACAGAACAGCATGTCAACTCCTCACTAAAATTAAAGGCTTTACCATTTGAGATGAAAGAGAAAGGCCTACCCCTTTTATAAGCAATTATGGGTCCACTTGTTACTTTGTTACTGTATTTGACAGTGGACAAAAATATTTAGAGCAAAATGATCATGTGCAGCGAGGCTCAGAATGAATATGAACCTGTAAGCTGTAGCTGAATAATATCTTACAGCTTTGTCTTTCTTACCTTTTTTTTAAAAAAAATGCTTTTACAGGTAGTACCTTTTAGAAAAGCAATCCAATTTAAAAGATACATTAACTCAATAACTGAAACAAAAAGTATGATGTTTTGATATTTTCTCCATGACAGATAATCGGGCCTTCTGGGAAAAAAGGTGCTAGGGTAAGATAGTTATTTCTTTTGTAGTTATAGTGCTGCTGTGCTAACAAACTGTAAGCTTATTTCTGAGTAATTCAGAATAGAAGGAAGCCCATTTTTTATCTCAGAATAACTGAAAACATCTGCATTGTGTTTAATAAATATTAAGCTTGATTTTTAAACTGGTGCAATGTTTTACTGTTTGACCTTCAATTTTAAGTGAATTACAGTATATGATTGATAAGTCTCTTTGTCAACTGTATCAAAAAGCCTGGTATCAGGACACATCTTAATGCCTGAGTTAAACATTATCAACACGTACTACTATATACAGTATAAGACCAAATTGAAACCTGCTACTAAATTAATTTTCCTGTTGATGTGAGGCAGTGCTTTAAATTGTGATAGAATTAAAAAAACTATAACCACAGTATTTTTGCATTTTATTTGAGAATATTTTTTTCTGCAGCTGTTACATCAGTCATACTGTAAACAAAGAATCTTTCTTGTAGCCTGACAAATAAAAAGTTGTTAATTGCACTCACACATCTCATTAGTACCAAGTTAAATTCCCAGTGGTCCATTCGGCTCTAAAAAATGGGAAAAAAGTAAATGGCCAATTACAATTTACTTTCTCGTAACCCTTAAAATATTTTGGAATCAATTTGCTCTATAATTCGTGGGTATTATGGGATTTATTTTCCAGTTTATTCAAAAATATTAGCATACTTATTTCTTACACTGTATGCTAGACACCGTACATACAGTAACTGCAAGAGATGATAACAAATCATTAACTAGGCTGACAATTGATTAACTTAATAGTATGTTTTGCTATACAGTATGTTCTTAAAGAAGAGATGCTAAACTCCCAACTGTAAATCTTATTTACTTTTAGAAGTTTGCTGAAAAAAATAAGTCTTACATTTTGCAGTCCATTACAAGGTAGAAGTTAGTTGTACTTTGCAGGTATAGTACGTTAGTTGTAGTTGAAGAAAACAGCATTGTCACGTATTGTACCCATCTCCAGTGACATGCAGTCCAGAAAACAGGTTGACCTGAACACATTTCTTCTGATTGCAGGGTGATATTGGGCCTTTAGGTCCACCTGGTCCACAAGGTGAAAAGGGAAATCAGGGAGACAAGGGAGAAAAGGTAAAAGCAATCACAATTAATTTGAAAGCTTGTATTTTTCAAAGTATTACCAGAAAAGTAGTGCACTAAATGTAATAGAATTTGCTGGTAATTTACAGAACGTCCCTGTCAGTAAAGAGTGAGCTAAGCTTTATCCCAGGATATACAGTACTGTATATAACTGTATGTACTGACACCTGAAGAAGGCTCCGCGGCCGAAACGTTTTTTCTCTTATTTTTTTCAGCATGGAATAAACCTATTACTTGTATGTAATGTAGCCTTAGACTCTTTAGGGCTCTGTTAATGACCCAGTCATGATTTATGTATTGGGAGTGCTCTACACATGCCTTCAAAGAAAAGCTTCATGGAAAAAGGTCATAGAAAATAATAATCACAATCTACACACACTCTGTCATCTTGTGGGTACTGACACCACCTGCTACACAACTCTCTTTCCACACATGGATATCGAATCACATAGAAGACACATATGGACATAGAACACTGTGGCAGATTAAAAGCGCATACTCCATGCAAGAAACGACACAACATACAGTACCTTTTGGTTTGGGGAACATGTCAGAAACTTTCTAGAGCCTGGGTGGAGCGGTGCACCAGGCAGTAATTCTCGAAACTGAGATGGTGGGATCATAAGTTGTTACATAGCATTATTGAATCTCATTTAATTGCAAGAGGTTTGATCAACGGTCTTGATTGTTTCCCACTCATACCTTTAGGTTTGGGTTAACACCCCAGGTAGGGTTAGGGTTAGCATTCACACACTACTTATACAATTTCTATGCTCAGCGCTGGATTTTGGGACCCAAGTCAGGTTTAGGATGGGTGGTTTTGTAGTCCTATCTGAAAATGTTTTTTTTTATCAGAAACTCTCTGGGGCCTGGGTGGGGAGGTGCACTGCTCAGTACGTAACGGCATCCTGAAATTGAGACAGTGGGATAAAAAGTTGTATCATGGCATTATTGAATCTCATTTAATGGCAAGAGATTTGATCAAAGATCTTGATTGTTTCCCCACTCATACTGTATGCACACATTTCAAAATCCCTCATCTCATCCTGGCACACTATACCCAGATGACCACAGGTGTTTGTCTGTACTCAGATGATAGAATAAATGTGGTTTTAAAAGAGTGTTAGTCTGCATCCTTAAATTTAAAAAAATAAGCACATTTCTATTTTAAATTATTCCAAATAGCTCACTGTTTTATATAATCAATAGTAAAACTAACGTTGAAACTTTTTTTTTAAAGCCATATCAGCCTGAATGCTTACAAACCTATTTTGGTGTAGTGTCTATTTTGCTGTAGTTAGTAAAGATTATTGCAATGTTTAAGATAAAACCCATTAAGATAAAACTCATGGGTTATGATGAAAGTAACTAATTGTGCTTTATTTGAAGGGCAGTCCAGGGTTTGGCATACCCGGTCAACAAGGGCCAAAAGGGGAGAATGGAGAGAGGGTGAGTTTTTTTTCCAATACCTTATAATGCTGTTTTATTACTGTGTATGTGTTTAAATATAAATTCTTATCTAATTACGTGGACATATTGCATATTGATTAGGATTTATTATACACGTAATGTGATGCATGCTCAGAATCAGTTTTTATTCATACAAATACTGGCAAGCATTTACATGATGATTGCTAAATACGTATATAATTTTATTACAAACATGTAGGTGTTTGTCATGACAGAAGATCATTTTAATTGCACTATAACAAGGGCTATAAGGGCGTAAGGGTTATTAATTGATCTTTGTCATCAGGTTTCTATTCACTCATTTATATTTTTATTTTTAAACTTTTTAGTCCTCCATTTTATTTTAAAGTTCTCGTGTCTTCCTTCATCTTGTGGGCAGTTATTGAAAATAACTCTACATTTGTTAAATTGTCAATGCTAAGCAATGCTAAGCATTTGCATTTCCTTTCTTGTGAGGTTTTTGCATATAAGTATGGAAATATTTTGTTTTCTTCCCTTCTCTACAGGGAAATGTTGGTTTATCTGGAAAGCCTGGACCAAAGGTAGGACCAAAATTTAAAGTGTTTACGTTGAGAGCATTAATTTAGAGGTCTAATGTGATTAATCAGTTTAGAATTACTGAGCAGACAGGCAAAGAGAAAACAGAAACTCAAGAAGAGATTTGTGACTTTGGGGGTTATGGTGACTTTGAAAGATTTAGAGAGTTCAATGACTGACATGGGAGAAGATGTTCATGAGTCATACCACAAAGATAGCCAGACTCACCTCAGGTCCCCATTGTAAGTGATAATGGAAACATCTGCAATTAGTTTTGTTGGTCACATCTAAAAAAATTCTGAAACTATTGGTCTAAATGCAAAGCATCGGGTGCAATCCCAACAGTGCCCTTTGCCACTCAGTAGTATTCCTATTGTTAAGCATAGTGATACTATTGTGTTCAAAAGTGATGTCAAACACAAAATTGCTAACTTTTCTGTCGCATAATTTGTCTTTTATTGTGAACAACAAATCAGTTTCAGAACAGTGCAATTTCTACATTTGTATTAATTTATTTTATTTTATGAATCTGAATTTTCATTTGTTTCTACTTAGGGCCAGGATGGTGGGAAAGGAGATAAAGGAGAACCAGGCCAGCCGGGACAGGCTGGACTACCAGGACTAAGAGGTAAAGATGTAAGTAAATCCTGAGTAGCAATTTCTGTAGTGGCGCTTTTACACTGTCTTCGTAGGCAGATTGATTTTTCATTTGTGGCCTTGTGCTCAAACGTGAAAAAATACCAATGAATTTTTAAAGCTTTCAAAACATTATTGTTCAGCATTTACACTTTTTAAAGCCTAAATAATTTACAATATTTACAATAAAAATACATTTATCTTAACAGAGAATTTTTGCTGTTTTGAAGTTGTGGAAATGTTGCCTCCTGTCACACCGGGTGACTGTGGTAATCTGTGTAGTGTTTTGGTGATTAGTTGCTCTCTGTACTGTATTATGTAAATGGAGGATGGTAATGCACCTCTTTTCAGGGTGAACCAGGACCAAAGGCAGACCCAGGACCCAGGGTAAGTAAATAAATTAAGTTCTGTTTGGCCACAAACAGAATTAGCTGAATGAACTGATGAACCAGAAATATTCAGTAGGTCGTTCATCAGAGGGAATCACTTGAAGTTTTAAAATTCTTCTTTTAAAAAATCGTTTTTGCTGAAGGTCATAATCAAGCTTGTACTTACAATCCTCACTAAATGGGTATCATCTGATGTCCCAATTGATGTAGGCGTTATTGATAATTTTCCCAAAAATTACAATTTTCCATGACAATTGAAAAACATATCACTTTGAGCTCAGTGAATTCAAGAAGAATCCTTCTTTCATATAAGCTACCCTTAACATACATTATTTGAATAGATCTCCTTATTTGAATAGTCTATTTTGGAATTTTATAGCAGATATTCTACTGTCTTGTGTACTGCATTCTTCCACCTGTACTTGTATTTGTTCTCAAGGGTGATCCAGGGCCTGCAGGGGAGCCAGGGGAGAGAGGAGTAAGGGTAGGTTTCTGTTTTTCATTGCTTCATCAGGACTTTCTCACTGCTATCTCCCTTGCCTTCCTTTCATCAGAAATGCGTTCATTACAGCAGATGGGTGGGGTCTTCTATTTAAGATAATAAACATTTGTTACTGAATGTGCCAGAACTAGATTTCACATGTGACAGTTTACTTTGTTGATGACTTCTTTGATAATGTCATATTTAGATGTTATTCATGATGAGAAATAAACCAAAAACTGTTTTATCAGCACATACATTTTTCTTGCATACAGTATAGCGAAGGGAAGTAAATTGAATGCAGGGGAAGAAAGTGTGTTTGGCTTGTTGAAACAGAAACCATTGTTCAGTGCTCTAGCAAATTAAGGACATTCACTGATTTCAAGAGCAGAAAAAGACAAGGAATTTAAAAATGAGGAAGCCATTGGGATCCTTGCTTGCTTGAATGTTTGTAGTTCAGTGTTCCACAGAAAACCACTTGAAAGCCCCAGAAAACTACTACAATGGCTTATGATCTGAAATGGAAATGTTTCTTTGGTGCAGCTTATTTACAGAAATTACATTTATTTATTGTATTTTCACTGGCTTTTTCAAATGTTATTTTTCTTCCAGGGCCCGCTTGGCCTTCTGGGACGACCTGGAGATCCTGGGGAAAAAGGAGAACCTGGGATTGCAGGAGCACCAGTAAGCACAGCTTAAAGCCACAACTTATTCATTTTCTAACCTTTTAAACAATCCTTCAGTGTTTTGAAGATCAGTTAAATTTATTCAGTCAGGTAGTTTAAAGCAAAAATTCAACCGTGAAGACTAAGATGCTCATTAAGAAGTGGGAATTACTACTAATAATAATTGCTTACACTTATAGCACTTTTCTGGACACTCCACTCAAAGCGCTTTACAGGTAATGGGGACTCCACTGCACCACCACCAATGTACAGCATCCACCTGGATGATGCGACAGCAGCCAAAGTGCACCAGAACGCTCACCACACATCAGCTATCAGTGGGGAGGAGAGCAGAGTAATGCAGCCAATTCATAGATGGGGATTATTAGAAGGCCATGATTGGTAAGGGCCAATGGGAAATTTGGCCAGGATGCCAGGGTTTCACCCCTACTCTTTTCGAGAAACGCCCTGGGATTTTTAATGACAACAGAGAGTCAGGACCTCGGTTTTACGTCTCATCCGTCTCATCCAATATTACAAATTAAAATTAAGTGGACACTGCCTAGATATTTCTGTCCCTTTGAACAGAGCAGCTGGGCAAGGGGGCACCTAGTTATTGATGTCACCACAAAAAACGCATGTTACTGACTTATAAATTAGTTTGAAATCAAGGTAATTCAAATTCCTTCCTCACAATAAATCTTGTTTTACAAATGCCATTTAGCACCTGAGAAAATGTCTGTCAGTCATTTCAGTTCCTCTCAAAATCCTGAGTTGAATCCTGCTGAGAATCTCAGGAAAGACTTGACAAAAGCAATCCCAAAGCGACCTGCCGGGAAGAATGAGCCCAAATTGCACCAAGTCTATAGAGACTTGTGCAAGAAGTCATCTGGTTATACCTTGAATTCCAGACCTCAAGAAGGCCTGTATCTGTACTTTCCAAGATAATGCAAGATTTTTAAGGGCACATCCATTCCAGGTGGAAATAACCCCTGGCGCTTTGGAAAAAAGGTGTTTCCACCAGATATTGAATTCATACTGTAGGTCTGTTTACGTATGCAATATTCAAGTTTTTTTTCTTTAGTTTGTGCTGATGTTTACTGCACCTTTTCTTACCCTTATAAGACTTTAGGTTGAACGTTGGGGTTTGAATAATTTAGCAAGCACTGTATAAGTACAGGATACAAATCCATATTACTGCAATACAAATTATTATAAATTATTAATTATATGAAATTAAGTTCATTCAGATTTCCATTAGCACAATAAATCTTGTTTTACAAAAATTCATTTAGGTATAATCTTTGTAAAATGTCCTTACTCCATACAGTATCTTTAACTGTATGATATTGTTTCCAGAATGGCTTACAAAGCTTCCAGTTATTCTGGAACATGACGTCTTACTGTACAGTACTGTATATCACTCTGTCATAACATTGATCACTAACTCTGCCGCACTCACCTCTATGATCATTACTGTTTGATTGGTTGACCTTATTGAACTAGACAAATGATTCACTGATCTACAGTATGTTAAGCTGCTGATCTGTAGTTATGAAAACACCATCCTGATTCCAGCATTTATTGCAGTTCTCTCTGCTGTTTTGTAAGGTGTTTTCAATTGAATGATTAAACTTTTTAAGGCTGCAACATACTGTTAGATTTCTTCTTCCTTTAACTGCTTTATTTTCCTGTGCAACAGTGTAGCAATACTATTGGTCAGATGATCAGTGTACATAAAGCTACTGACAATGGGTCTTGCCATCTCTGTTTCTGGAACTTTGTCTGCTTCCAGCAGTATCAGACTTTGTTTCTGTTTGTGTTGCAGGGCGTACAGGGACCTAAAGGAGAGAAAGGAGACACTGTATGTCCATTTGTTTTAATTGTTGATGCTTCACCTATTACTACAAGTTCCTTTCCTTAAACATTTAAGTTAAAAAAGAGAAGCAATAGTCAGTTATTGATTTTACTGATTGCAAATATCTTGCATTTTCACTTCAAATATAAACTACTTTAAAAACAGTATTTTTTTCTGACTTGACTGTCTTAATTGCAATTGCTAGAATAATTGCTTAATGGTTAAAATAATATATAGATCTCCTTTATTTTTCAGTACTAGTTTGTAGTATTACTGTATGTTGCAGAAATATAATATTTCTGTACAATATGCTTTTCCCCGCAATTCTCAAAGGGAAAGCCTGGACCACCTGGGCCTTCTTCTGTAAGTGAATACTTATATTTTTCACTTTTCTTTTCTTCTTTTGCAGTGTATTTACTTTCATGTTGAAAAGATCTAATAATTTTCAAATATGATTTATACAGTCATAAAAATACATGGCTGTATAAATAATCCTATTCCAAAAACACTTAAAAAACATTACAGAAATCCAAAAAACTTTGCAGTTATTTCCTATTGCTAACATCATTGTCCTGTGTAAGCATAATTCCAAGGCATGTCTTAATTATACGTGTCCTTTGAAATGTGATTTCAAAGTATATATTTTCCAACCAAAAATACTATTTGTAGGAAACATATAGGTGCACATATTAATATTCATTTTTGTTGCAGAATAAAGCTGATAAATTAAAAGGCAAAACACAGCTTATTTTCTCAGACTATTTTCTCACAATCTTCCTTTGTCTTTATCATTTGTATTCCAGTTTATGCTGTCTGAGAACAGCATCATCACCAGAGGTGAAAAGGTAAAGAACATCTTGTAATAACTGAGTAAAACCAATAGAAGTATGCATGTTTTGAATTGAATGATTTTGCTTTTCCAAATTCCACGTAAATTTGTGCCAAGCAGAAAGGTGTCGGTTAGACGTCATCATAAAATCAGGTCAATTGTAAAAGTTCTGAGGCTTCATGAATGTGACTGAAGAGGTGAACGTGCTTATATTCATGCCTCTGTGCACCAGGGTGACAGCGGTGAGCCAGGATTGCCAGGTGACCCAGGACTACCCGGACCAAGGGTAAGTTTATAGCCTAAATACACTCTCATGGGCAATTGTCCTGCCCAGTACACCAGTCATAGCTCACAAAAATGACACTACATTAATTATTTTCCATTAGGGGCCAGAAGGGCGTCCTGGGCCTCCAGGAAATGGACTGGTATGTATTTTTGTTATTATACTGTATATTATATTATATACTATAGAACTATGTTTAGTTCCTGATGCTGAATGTTGTATTTCCATTTCTATTCACTAGCATTTTGATTGAACAATATTTATTGCTCTTCTTATTTGTTAGAGGCTTGAATTGTTAAACATAATGAACACTGATGGTATTAATTTAAATATATCAGATTATATGAACCAAAGTTTCATAGATAATATATTCATCATCAATATACTGTACAATAAATTGAAGACCTAATGAATTTCCAAAAATCCAAAGATATTCAGTAGTGATGAAATGAGGTTATGTGAGCATTAAATTCAGGGTACATTCACATGCACAGACTGTTCTAGTTATTATAGTTTATCTGTGGGTGCTTTATTAACTTTTAGCATTAACATTCTACGGAACCTCCATTTAGAGTAATAAAAAAAAATCCTCAATAAATAATAAATCTCAATAAAAAAAAATCACACTTCTTTTACTTCAGAGGAAAGCCAGTCATATAATAATAATATTCCAGGCATGTCTTGTGTAAAAAATAGGAACTGGATAAGTATAAGTAAAGTATAAGTATAAGTATTAGTATAAGTAGCCACTCTGAATATGCGGTACATGCATTAACGTGGAGCGTTGCTTTATGTAATTCACTGGCCAAAGATGATCAATAGGTAACACTTGTGTTAGATGATGATGTGAAACATTTGCTTCATTTAATCCGTTTCTTCTACTGTTCAACTCGCATGTTTAAATCTGCTTAAAATTGAATATTAATATAGACTTTTACAGCTAAAGGAAAATGTTGGGAGCTGAAAATAAAAACAACCGAAGTACAATGTAATATACTGTATATCTTATGTACATAAAAAAACAAAGTACACGGCAGTATTTCACCTTCTTCATAAACATTTTTATGCATTACATTTTTTTAACTCAGTAACTTACAGTGCATGTTTTGGAAAAGTTTTGACATGCTTTTTCTACGTTTACTTCATAAAAAGCTATAATGTTTAACCTTTTCTAAGAATGTCATGAGAACACTGTCCTTGCTGTTATTGTTGTAAAACAAAAGTTGTTCTACTGATTTAAACCATTTGATAGAAGGAATGTTAATATGGAATCATGTAACTAAGAAATTGTGGCAGCTAAAAATATCACTATTCCATATTTTGGAAACATTTTGATATGTTTGTGCTTTTGAACAGGAGGGCAGCTTTCCTGCTCTCTGGACTTTCATTCAACTGAAATCTGTGAAAGCTAAATTTGGACCACTTTAGAGGCATGGAACCTGTTCTGTCTGATTGAGGAAGAGAGAAAGCATCTCAAAGGAAAAGCACATGGGATAAAAGTATCAGAGCCATGAAAGATATTCTTAATTCCTGTACAGGTGATAGGGTACATTTCCAGGGACCTTAGGCACATATTCTCACTGAACATGTTACAGACTGGTGTGCTCAAACTGTGAAGACAAATATGGACTGTTTTTTGCATGAGACATGCTGTTTTGCAGGGAGGGCCAGCAGTTCAAGGCAGGGATGGGGTTGATGGCAAGGATGGTGAACCAGGACCTCCAGGGCCCAAGGTTAGTTTATTTCCAGTGGTAAGAGATGCCGTTGTTAACCACACTTGTGGAGATACGAATGAAGTATTTTGATCCTCATCCTCAACCCATTGCATCATACTATAATCATATTTTTAGGTAAATACAATTCCTGTCAGTTTTGTCTGTGCCACACTGATCATTGATGGCAGTAAGGACGACATTATCAACCTCACTAGAGAAAAATGGAATTGGGTGACTTGTGCCTTGGTGAACCCTACAAAAGCAATTTACAGAAAGGGGTGAGGTGTCACCTTGTGAGCTGGCTCTGGTATTTGCAGATTGTCTTTTAAAAATGTTTCAAGGCAGCGTTTTAAAGGGCTCACTGTACACTCTCTGCATGTGCCTAGATCATCCCAGAAAACTGCATTATTTCAAAGAGGTTCTACATGAAAGTTCGTTCAAAAGTCAAATGTTTTTTTAACAAAAGTTATTTTCAATTATATGTATCATTTTTTCCTTTGAGTTTCATATTATTCTCATACATAATGACTTCAATTTCACCTCCTTTATTCAGGGTGAACCAGGAAGGAAGGGAGATCCTGGCAGTGCTGTAAGTATTCCAGTCTGCAGCTTTCCTCCAAAAGGAGTTTTTCACGCAATCATGAATGGTTATATGTTTAATATATCTTTTTTTTGCAAATAACTGTGCATTGAATTTGGCATATTTCTCATATTTCGTTAACCAGATCAAACAGATCTTTTTTAAAAATAACTAAGAAACAAAATAGGACCATCAAAACGTGTGATTTACAAACAAAAACTCAGAATGCAAGTTATATTACTTGAGGGCACAAACAAAGACAGCTATAAGTATGATACCTCACTATAGGCTTGCACACATCGTTAGAAGCTCCATAAAGTTCCATGTTAGGAATCACTGCTGGCCATTAACATTAGTATTGTTACTGTATATATTATGGTTACAATAAGCACTTTGTACACTATAGCCATTATTTATTAATACTATTAATATTAATAATATTAATATTATTCTATTTACATTTGTGTGGCAGTCTTGCCAGTCTTGTTTTGAAGTATATATAGTTTTATACAGCCCTAATTAGTTAGGCAAGCTTGAATGTTTTTATTTACACTAAAACCTTTTCTGCTGCTCTAGGCGCAACAAGGCACAGCACAGTAAACGCTTTCGTACTCTGAACATACATACAAATACCCCAATACATGGAAAAAGTACAAAAAGACATATAAATGGCACAAAAAATAAAAGTACAAAAAATACCAAATGAAACCTGCTTTTGAAAGCCATGGGGAGTATTTGTTCAAGAGGGTAACGGCCGGGGGAATAATAATACGTTCTGTTGTAGAAAGGAGAGCCCGGTCGCATGGGCATAACTGGAATGCCAGGCCTTCCTGGGACCCCTGTAAGTACTGTACTGTTTATCCTTTGTCAGCTCTAAGCAAGAATATCCTGTGTGGATTAGGGGCTCTGCTAACACATGGCCCTGTTGAACATTTGTAGGGGAAACCTGGTGTTGACGGAAAGCGAGGAGCCACTGGAAAGGACGTGAGAGAAATTTCTGATTGCGACCCGTTTCCGACATGTTTTTTAAATTTCTCTTTGGAACAATGCAGTGATGGCAGGCACCATAGTTGGTGTTACTGTGTTAATAAAATATTGAAATCGCTGTTTACTTTCTTAATGTCAGGCTACTTGCAGATTGTAGCAAGAAGAGTAACAGTAAAACATGCATTATTATAATAGCTTATAATACAAATGTTACTATTCCAACCTTTTCATTAAATGTTTTTTGTATTAAGAACTGTGCAACAATTGCTCAATAGTCTGTCATTTTCTTCAGGGAGAACCTGGACTTCCAGGAGAAAAGGGAGGAAAGGTACTGGAATGACAATACCGTACATCCCTAAATGTCAGTTTAGCTGGTAACACTTTAAAATAAGGTTCAATAATAAACCTTAACAGATAATGTACATTTGGCATTTTATCTGTTAATAATATTATATTTTTAGTCTATATATAATACTATGAATACATTTATCAGAGGTTTCATATTACATTTCCATTGTCAGATCTACAGTATGTGCATTATGAAGAGGTAATTCAATATTACATCCTCAGCTTTGTTCTCTGATCAGGGTTACATCCAGTTTGTAATTGTAATGCAGTGAAGGTATTGCACCTTTATTTCTATGCTAATCAACTGGACTTTGTTAGTAGACTAGTTACAGCATATTTGTAAGTAGTCTACTCACTGTTAGTCTCCCAAGAAATGGGCTAATTAACATTTATGATTGAATTACCATTCAATTTACCGTGGCTAAATAGAAGGAATTAAAATCATTTGTGTAGTTAAAAATATCAAATAAGACAGGCAAGGTCTGAGACATACAGTATAGTATCTGATGTAAGGAATGATTTGTTGAGGATTTTTCCCTTTGAGAGCTCTATACAATTGTTCTTTGTTCTTTGTTCTTCTACTTTGAGAGACACTTAATCTTTATTGTTTAATAACTCATAACATGTGTAACTGTATGTGTCCATTTATATATACTATACCTTTATGGACTAAAATTAAGTTAAACCCCTCTTGCTGTAATCTTTCATGGTTGAAAATCACTGATGAGCTGAGGTGTTGTAGAGCTGAAGGAAGGAAGCTCTGTCGCCTGTCTTACACTAATGCAAAACAAATCTCTTATCTGTTCTTTCACAGGGTGAAAGGGGTGATCCAGGCAGTGCTGTAAGTTTTGTTGTGTGTTATACTATGTTCTGTTATGAAAAGAAGAAGTGTAAGAAAGTATGCAAATTTAAAATTTAAACTGTTTTGATCAGTTAGATGATGACACCATACAAATAACCAGACAAGAAAACTTCAGAAGTACTACTGTAATAAAGAAAAACAGAATAATGCCATATTCTACACTACACATTAGCAGTGTCCAGCTGTTTTTATCCTTATAAACAATAGTCCATATCGTGCCTATTTCTTAACTGTTATTAGAAAAGCTCAGTGTCTAGGCAGGGTTTGGGGTGTACACTATAAAACAGCAAAGTGGCAAGTTATTAAAGAAATAAAAGAGAGTGTAGCAAGTTACCCAGCGAAACAAAAAAATCCAGGAGTTCTCACGGGGCAAGAAACGGACTAAATTTAAAATAAATGGAATAAAAAACAACATAGATAATAGATAATATATAGTACATAGTAAAAATAAGAGAAAAACACAGGACAGAAGTAATGGGGAGCAATTGGGTACCCCTATTCAGCAGAAGGAGCACGTTGTTTTACAGGACCAGGAGAGAGATGGTGCAGATGTGTGCAGGAGGCACCTTCCACCACAAGCAGGGAAGGGAGGATAACAAGTGACCGTGTCCCTCTCAGTGGTGCCAGTGTTTCACCATAGGAAATATAGTCCCGTTAAAGTTTTCTTTATCCTTGAATGTAACATATTTTCAAGATAGTGATAAATACCGTATAGTACAGCGTGGCGCGATGGTGCAGTGGTTAGCATTGCTGCCTCACCGGACATACAGGTAATGGGGGGGCTTGGATTTTAACTCCTGGGGGTGCTACAGTATCTGCTTGAAGCTTGTGTGGGTTTAATCTGGGTGCTACAGTTTCCTTCCACAGTCCAAAGACATTCTGGTAGGTTGATTGGCTTCTGGGAAAACTGGCCCTAGTGAAAGTGTGTTCCTATTTGTATCTAACCGGATGTGAACCTTGCGATGAAAAGACTTCCCATAATATAATATGATATAATATGACATAGCATATGGTATTGCTGCATAAGAGAATGAATGCTCTTATTTTCCTGAAGGGGAAAGATGGGGCAAAAGGAGAGCCCGGGGCTCCAGGTTTGCCCGGTCCTCCTGTGTTGCTGAACATCCCTACAGACCTCACACCAGAGGAGGTAGGGCGGCCACTTTCTGTCATAGCGACTTTGTCATGTGTGTTAACATCGTATATACAGTGCTGTAACAGTTATATCTGGAACACATTCTAAGAATGCTTCCTTTTTTGTCTCTGTTCATTAATTTCACTATCATGCTCCATTGGTTGTGTCTTTGCTCCTTTCTCAGCTCTAAAAAAAAGTGAGGTGTCAGCAAAGATTTTCTCGGGAACCTCAGAAATGACCATTTGTTGTTGATTTTTTAGGGTGCCTCAATTGAAAATGCAAGACAGCCATTGTTTCCTCTACCTATGGGTCCTCCTGGAGTTGCTGTAAGTCATGATCTGTTGTTCCATTTTGGGATTTATGGAAAATTATATCCTTTGTACCCCCTTATATAAATGTTAATTGTTAATAACGCATATTATATATATATTTTCCCCTTTTTTCTTTAGAATCCTTAACACACTAGATCTGGCTGCCTCTCTGTCACATTGCTTGTGCGGAGCAATGTTAAATGAAAATGTTGCTTCAAAGTCCAACTGCTCATTTAAAATGCACAAAAGCTTCTTTGGATGTTATTAATTGCTTTTGTGTTTTTTTTTATTTTAAGCTTACTGTTCACTGTATGTAATGCAACTCATTTCTGTAATGGAGCTCTGACGAAAGTTCGGGAGGCATGAGGGCAGGCGGACTAAGATCAGCTGCCACAACCCATAATTAATCCATACATAATTTCTCACATTCCCATACAGTATATACCACATGTCACGCGCTCCTCTTCTTTGCTTGTTTTTTATCCCTCCTCCACTCCATATCCACCTATGCAGCTATCCCCTCATTGCCTTTTCACCAGGCATATGGGTCCTAGCCTCCCTGTCCTATGACCACAAGGCTGGCCTCAGCCAAGCGGGTTAAACCAGGTTTCTACAAACTCAATACATGATTCTGCTTTCACACAGTCTTCAGCTGCCCTCATTCCTCATGGACTCAGTCTTGTTAGTGTTAATTATCCCAGGCGTCAGCTTGAAGACGGATACAAAATCTACAGTTTTGTGGGAAAGTGTCAAAACACCTTTGATGTGCTTGAAACAAAAAAACGAACTGAAGTTTGGAAGACACAAAAGAGTTTGAGATGAATCCTAGAATCACATGACATCAAAACATCTATTCAACTATGAACAGATGCAAATTAATACATCAGTATTTACTGTATGTTTGTTTATATGAGGCTCTTGTCTTTATGCAATTGAAAACTCATACAAATAAGATTTTGTTTAATCTAGTCTCAAAACGGGTTTTGACAATGGCTGAATATTTGTGGGTATCACGGAGAACAGAAATGAAAATTTTAAAATTTCACTCACTTATTTACAATTAGGTTAAATGTGTACTCTTCTAGTTCTCAAAGAATGGTTTCATTTGCTTTTTAAGCTAGGTTTGAAAACTGGGAAATTTGGAAATATCAGAATTCAGAAACAGTATTGCATTTAATAACATTCAATACCTGTAGTGTATCTATTCTTATTTTTATGTTTTGCGTGTACTGTATAACAGGGTCCTCCAGGCATGAAGGTGAGAACAAATTCTGTTTTCAAAAAAGTATTGATGAATTCCTATTCACCCCATTTGGTATTCTCATAATGAATAATTCTACCTTTTTGTAGGGAGAGAAAGGAGACAAAGGTAGCAAAGGAGACAAGGTTAGTGATTTCTTCAGAATTAAGTATGGATTTCCTGTGGCACTACTTGTTTGTCACTTACTGTAAGAAAGTCCAGTATGCATTAATGTCTTTTTTGTTGGTAACATGATCCCATATAATATGAGATGAAAGGTTTAGTGCTAAATGTATAACTGTATTCTGGTAATTTTGGCATTTGTGTCAAAAAGTAATTTGGGTATAAAAAATATTTATGAATACTTTTAGAAAGTAAAATAAATACCAATCTCCAACAAGACAATGCCAACAAATTGAGGTGGTGTCTTTAGTTCAAAATGTAAGGGTGTGAATGTACTGTATTCTTAGACATGGGATTATATTAAAGACAATATTACTGTGGTGTTTCTGGATATTATTTTTTTAATTCTAGGGTGATCCTGGTCCTGCAGGAAAACTATTTGAAATGAAGGTAAGTAAATCCTGTCTCATAACCAATTCATTTATCATAATCCATTCCTTACTGGACACTAGCAGCATCGGTACTATGCCTGAATAGTTCTGTTGAATACATGTTACCACTTTGAACATACAGTATGTATCTGTTATGTTATTGATACACTAGCTGTATATTAAGCACCAAAAGAGACATCACTTAGAAGTGCAAGACATTCACAAAGTTATAATCAGGATAAATAATATATCTTTTATGTAATGTTCTCTGCCATTTTATTCACCATGTATGACATTGGTAACTTCAATATGCAGATTAATATTGCTATCGATGTGGAAGTGTAATGAGAATTTCACAGGCTAGTTCTGTAGTGTACTTTTGCATTGGATGTTTGGCTCTGTCCTCTCCATCCTCAACCTTGAAGCAGCTCCATTTTAAAAAAAAATGAAATTAATTAGAAGAGTAGTGGCACTTTAACATTGTAGGATTTCCTCTCTCTCATTACACAGGAATTAGAAGCACTATTTGAATCCTACGGGATTAAGGTAAAGTTAATCCTCTCCCCTTACTTTGCCATGATCTTATTCATAAATAAACCCTGCGCCTGTCAAAGTGAAGACCAGCAGCTCTAAAAGGCTTGTCTGTTTCCCAGCTGCCCCTGCTGAAGGCTCTTGTTGACAAGCTGGTGCAGGAGGGCATAGACGAGGTACTGCCACAGCTTACAAGCTCAAAGAAAAGCAAGGGTGACAAGAAAAGAATTAACTACAACCACGTTACAGACTACACAGTAAGTATGCATATGGATTCTCATTGTAGGTTCTTCTCAAGATAAGTAAGGTCAGTAAGGCTTGTGCACATGAAATAATAAAACATATTACGAATTCATTGCCCTGCTCCAGAAAATAGGGTTCTCTTCAAGTTGAGATATAGTACTTCAGATGGGTTATTCAAATGCTCAGGGTGTTAATTTTATTTTACCCGTATCATTTAGTTTCTTGCCTACTAAGAAAAAATTAATTTGTAATCAGGTTCAAAACTATTGGGAAATGGATAACATCTAGAATTTGTATAGCAAATAATTGTACCACATAATCGACCACTGGGGTGCGGCATCCATCCGGGTGATACACAACAGCCATTATGCACTAATTGCCTCACTACACAACAGATCTAGAGACATAAGAAATGCCTTCACAAGTGACATTCAGAGTGAAGTATTGTGATGCCAGAATGTGCAAGCACAAAGTGCTTGACCAAGTTGTAGAAACCTTGTTTGAACATCTCACTAAAGGGCATTATATAATTTAAAAAAATAAAATCCTTACACATATACTGTATAGTGCTTTTCTGGACACTCCATTCAAAGTGCTTTACAAACAGTGGGGACTCCCTTTCACCACCACCAATATGCAGCACCCATGTGAGGTGAGACAGCAGCCAAAGTGTACCAGTAAGCTCACCACACATCAGCTATCAGTAGAAACGAGCACAGAGTGATGAAGCCAAGTCATAGATGGGGATGTTAAGGAGGTCATGATAGATAAAGGCCAGGGGGAAATACTGCATGTCCAGGACACTGGGTTTAACACCCCTACTTTCTTCTTAAATATTGCAGAACTAATATAAAGTATCCATTGTGAATCTGAAGTATTTTTTTCTTTGATTTTCCTGAGTAAACACATTTACAGAAAATATATTTTTTTAAAGAAACTCTAGATTGGAAATAAAGCATGACCTACTTTGTTCAATTTGATTTGGATGAGCTTTAAATGTGCACCAGTCATTGAAGCCAACCCATTTTGATTGCTAAGCAAATACAGAATGTACCTGTTGATATAAAAGTATCTTTCAGATACATTAGGGGAATATAGTAAATAATGGAAATTATTTTAAGTCACCTGACATCTTTGTGAAATCAAAAGACCTTAGCAGTATTTCTCTAATATTTCTCTCCTTGGGAATCTCTTAGCATTTGTTTTGCCCTTTTAATCTACAGTATGTAACAAGACAGATGCAAAAAAAACATACTGTATGTCATGACCTGAAAGGCTCTGTATCATATTGCTCAATTTAAAAGACTCAATTTATGAGACTCACCAACGGTCATGGTAGAATAATTTAATGTAGAAATATACAGTATATTTGCCTTTATTTGTTGCAATTTCTTTTTCATATACAGTAAACCAATTCTGAAATTTAAGTCTCTTCTTAGAACAAACATGAGCATGTACAGTAAATTTGCACTGCTCTTCTTTGCAGAGTTCTTTAAAATATGATCTTTCCAGTAAACCACTGAGTGAAATGGACTTGACTGAGGAAGGTGTGGACACTGTGACAGAGGAATTACTCCCAGCTCCCATCATACCAGTAAGACTGAAAAGATCAGTTTGACATAACGTAGGAAGCAGCTATTTGTAGGTTAACATGCTTTAAAAGAAAAATGCTGAAGATACTGTTTGCAAAACAGTTACTCTGATAACTGCAGACTGTCAGGCATAAGTTGTCACATTGAATTTTGTTTTCATTTTTTAGTTTTATCCACGATATTGAGCAAATGTCACTATGTTTGCATTACTGTTTTTTTTATTTATCAATTAACTAAATATAAGATCTTTGTTGGCTTTATTATTTATTTTATAGGATACATTTGATTTTGAAACCAAGGAAGGAACAGCTTTTGACAGCAAAGTAGTCGTTCGCGGTTCGCTTACTGATAGCAATGCAGGAAATGAACTCATAGAAGATATAAACAATGGGAAGGAAGATGATCAAACTGTGACTACAGGCCACTTTGGTGGCACTTCTCCACCGGAATATGTCCTGCAAACGCCTGAATCATTAGAAGCACAGTCTTTGGCAGATAAGGTACTGTTTGAAGTGAGTACAAATGGAATTATATTGTAAATTGCTGATGTTGCCCTGATCATTTTTCATTTTATTGTTGTTTAAATGAATTTGTGTATCAACTATTTTAGAGCTGTACAGCATGTAGAGGTGTGACCCCTGTTTTAGCTGCTGGACATCCTGTAAGTACAGACATGTGCAGGTGAGACTACAAAAGCAGAGTCATTCTAAACCCATGCACAATATACCAATATTTGTGAGCCAGAACCTAAAACAGCAGATAATCGGTAGAACCAGTCCATTCCAGGGCACATCATGAATAGGGGGAATTATTAGCGTAGTTGCAAGCGACCACGGTCTAAGAAAAAATGGAAAAAAAAGGAGCATCTCACTTCATCGTTTTACATCACCAAAACCACAAATCGTTTTTAGAACCGATAAATGACAGTAATTTAATCAAACTGTGCTTGTGGGCCATGTAGTCACAAGCAACCATGGCGTAAGTCAACATTTACTTTTGAGTCATGCATCATATTTAATCTTTTTTACCAACAAAACCACAAAACCTGTTATCAATCGAAAAAGGACAACCAGATCTTTAAAAAAACGTTTTCAGAACCAAAAAACACAGAGGCTTCGAAATTCCATCGATAAGGTAATCAATAAGCCAGCAAAACATGACCCCAAAAGCAAAAACCAGCAAAAAAAAAATATCCCATGTTTTTACCTTATTCTGAAGCATGATATATATCCACAAACAGCTAGACTAACCCACCTCCAGACCTGGAGGAAACTGAACATTATTGGCTTTGGAATAGATATTTGAAACTGGACCGCCAGGAATAAGGTGATCTGCTTGGTAAAAAACGCTGTCATTCATTGTATTTTCAGCCATTCAGAGCCTTTAGGGGGTGAGACTTCCTCTAGAAGCCTAAGGCTGCATTCCACCTGCCTTCTAGCTGTCAATCATTGGCTCAGAAGGGGTTATCAATCAGTTTCTTATCAGTGGTTCTTTTTTCACACCAGGAGGCAACTCTGAGTTTTTTTTTCAAAGCTTAATGGCAGAAAAGGGCTCTCTAGCGGTGTCTAAAGGTTTTAATAGCAATTGCAATGGTTTTTATTGTTATTGCTGTTAATATTTTTTATGGATTTATTTTGGGATGTGAGAAATTTCATTCCAGATCCAGTCTTCACAAAACATTCTGTAGAATTTTTTCAAATTGATCAATTTGTCCCAAAGTTTTATCCAAACTAGTAGACACCTAGGCCAGGGCCTACAAAGCATTTTCAGCTACCTGGCAGGCCTAGAATTGAACATTCTGACCTCTGAAGACCAAAACAATTTCCGCCTGCTGTTTTTTTCATATGTTTGTCTGCTGAGTGGATACATTAAGAAATGGAAATTTGACTATTCACACACAAAGCCAAGGGGGTTAGCTTCAATTTAAGACCTGAACCAGCCTCCTCCTTTGTTCTGCTGCAGAGATATAACAAAATGTATAAAGGGAGGAAATTCCAAACATGTACAGTACATTCATTATCCTGTCCCAGAAATTGTCATCATCACATTTCTGACACTTAGATATGATTTGAACTATTTTAGTATTGATGATAGTGTGTTTCCATTGCATTAATTCCAATGGAATTGTAGCAACACATTCCCACACGCAATCACAGTAAAACTACTTGGTCTGACTGGATTTTGCACTATGTAATTTTCCTCTGTTTGTCCCGATTAAACTATGTGATCCAGTTGTGCAGAATGGTGCAAAATAACATGACTACATTAGTAAGAATACATCTTTCATTAGTATGAAATAATAAAACTTAACCTGAAAAGCTTATGTGATAGATGATTCTCTTTACCTATTAATTCCCATTCAAAATTCCTAAAGCAAGAATAGAAGGAGTTTTAGCTGTCTACAAGAAACATTTAGAATTTGTCTGCCAAAGGAGGTGTTCCTAAGTAACGACTGACTTTTGCACGTGCCACTTTCACTGTTTTATTTTTTCTATCCGTTAAATTCAGCAAATAATTATTAATTGTGGATTAAAATATCCATAAATATGGCATGTTTAAGTTTGTACCCTGCAGAGGCTGTGTTATTTTCACTTAGAGATTCAGTGAAACCTGCAATTTGACCAGGGCAATTTTGCCCAAACATTTACATGGAACTGTAGGTTATTTGGCTTCTCTGGTGTGAGTGTGTGCATGTTTGTGTGTGTGTGGGCCCTGTGAAGGACTGGCATCCCAGCCAGGGTGTACCCTGCCTTGTGCCCATTGCTTGCAGGGATAGGCTCTGGCTCCCTCATGACCTTAAATTGAATCGATGGATTGTTAAAAATGTGTCCATCTGTACTGCAAGACGATGTCTGAGATTAATACCATTATTGTGTATAAAACCATAAATTGGTAAGAAAATCTAGGTAGAATAAATCTCAAATTCCTAATCTAGTTTTATTGGGTAAAATAGATCAAGATTACATGCGTGACTCATTCCTTTGAATCAGGGGAATGATAAATGGATATTGCAAGAGACTAATCTATGCTCACAGTTATATTGACACTTTAACTGTGTTTGGTTTTAGTTTTGTTTAGGTAAGGTAAGAAGGAAAATACTTAAAAATGCTTTTATTTTCTTTGCCAGAAGAGGTCCCAAACAGCTGTGGAAGAAATGAGAGAAACTCTAAAAGGTCAAGAGGAAGATTCCTTAAACAAAGTATCTGCTGAGAGGAGGAAAAGCAAAGAAAAGGGAAAGGTTAGACTCAGAGGTTATGGATGCCACATTGACATTAATAGTGTATCTGTCATATAATACAAAGTACAATATTTGATCTGAATATTTATGAATTGTATGACAGATTATTGTTAATTAGAAATCAATAAGATTTATAAATAAGGAATAAAATACTATGGTGATGCACAAAAGAATAAAAGAATCAGGTCTATTAGATCTACTCAAATAGTTTTTATCATCGCTGAAAATTAGCAAATGTCTTGAATCTCAAAATTTCTAAAAATGCGAACAAGAATACGGGTCAATGAATTGTGATAGGCTTTGAGTATGAAATGTGACTCACTGAATAAAAATAAAACATTCCAAAGTATCAGCGTGACAAAACTATCCCACTTGCTGCCCTATCTAACTGTACATTACTCACCTATCCATGCATTACAGAGCAGCCACAGCATGACTGTCAGGATTAAGGGAAGTCATGATGGGGTGACATCACGACACTTCAGATTCAGGGATATGAAGTGCATAAGGTTATTATGCAATTGGCATCATCAGTTAGGTGCACATCTTCCCTTAAATAAGGGCTCTCTATGACAGTGGTCGGTTCAGGTTTATGTTAGACCCTCACTGTCAGGGTGACCGTGAGAAAACAGTTTTTATGGGGAGACTCCTGAGTGAGTGAAAGTTCAAGACCCTTGAAGAGGGGCCAGTTTCGGCAGCAATACCAGAGGGAATTAGGGTGTTTGGAGTCTCATATTGAAGCAGAATGGTTTCCATTGCTACCACTCGTAGGGATGATAAGGTTAAAGGCTGACTGATGCTGACTGATGCTCCAGTGATGATCCAGGGGTTTATGTCACAGATTCCTTATGCTCAGCTACCATCTTATAGGGAATCTGATCGGTCACACCATGTCACATGATTTAGAGGCCATTCTTCTCTAACTACTACTCCTGGTCCCTGTAAGGGAGGGAGTGGTAGCTTTGAAAGAAAACCACCTATTATGGAGAAAAAGATGGTCAAATTAAATACCCTTAGCCTCGTTGAATAACTGACAACCAGGGGGAGTAAGATTCTACATGAGGAAGAGGGATAGAGGAGTTGACAATAGACTAATTAGAAGGTGTAGAAGCAAAGCCACGAGGCCTTCAGTCTGTCTAGGTTCCTGTATGGGAGTAACTCCAGAGGGAGTTCTCAATAGCAACTGGTTGAGCTGCCTTACAGGCCTGTGGGAGTGCTTGAGAAAATACAGTTTAGGCTGTCTTGAAGGGACCTCATAGAACCCCTCTGGGAACCTCTCTCTCTCATTGGTCTTTTTCTATGGAAGGCTTAGTGGACTTCCTGTTTCTTCTCTCACACGCAGCTCTTACAGCTCACCACACTTTCTCACTCATTTGGTCTTCTAACTAACTTGATGCACCCAGCTCTTTCTTTCTCTCATTTTACACTACCTGGCATTGGAGAACTAATTTTCTTCAAAGATTCACTCTTTGCCTTGTAGCTCTCACTTTCTTCACTATCTCATTGTCATCACTAGGCATAGAGTTTAACTTACTCGGTGGTGCCCAGTTCTCTTTCTCTCATTCTCTTTATCCCCTGATGTCCCTGAGCAGTGGGCTTGCTGTTTCCTCAGCTTTCTGTCCCCTTCACAGTTAAGAGACAGTTGTCTAGACTGCACTCTGCTTTCTCTGCTGAGAAGATATGCTGCTACCTTGCTAAGCAGTGTATCACTCCTCCAAGTGCCAACTCTTCCCATCAGCCCTTGTCCAGAATGTTGTTCCTGTTCCTTGGCAGCATACTTTGCCGTTGCGCCTGACAAACAGGGTGCTCATGCAACCTGCCTTGTCCAGGACCTGTGATGCACCTCGGAACAGCATTCACTATGTTTTCTTCAAACTGCTGCATAGGCCACCATGTCCAAAAGTTTTGTTGGCCAGCCCAACCTACCTGTAGCAACAACCTGTTGCAGTGGTAGCCTTATTCCCTGGTCTTCCCAAATGGTTTAAATGTAGACTGGAGCATTTTATTTTTTTTATAACTTTGACTCAATAAACTCATTTTGTCAATTTTTAACTTAACTCCAGTACAAATCACTGAAAGACATGAAATCTCATAACTTGTGATCAGGATTTTGTTATCACAAGGATATCACTCCAACAGTCAACAAACTTATCTGCTCACTATTTAAAATATACTGTAGATACGTAACATTATAAATATCCCCAGATGTTACAATTTCATTGTGCATCAGTATACCTTACCAAACCCTAAACATGAACCATATCTCTCTCTTCAGTCTCCGCTAATCAAAAATGTTGGTTACAATTCTTTTTCATCGTTTGAAAAGTAAAGCAAATAACATACTCTTTGACTGTTATAAAACTGCCACTTTTAAAAAGTTCATAAATACCATAACATTAACAAATGATGCTTTTTAGACCTTACATTTTGATTGCAGGTGCAAATTTAGAATTCAAAGCAGAACAAAACAAGTGTCTGAGTTAAAAGATATTCCTTAAAAGATTAACAGATACCTGGAAAACAAGCATATAATTTGCCAGCCACAAATTATGGCATTGGGCAAGGCATTGATGAAGCAACAGGTTCATTTTTTGGCATTTGAACTTTGTTTTTTACTGATCTGAAATATAACATGATTAAAGTTTTTCTGAATATGATTGATTTACTGTATTGTCTTGGTACCAGCACATAAAATATTTTAATGGACATCATAGTCTTACAATGCCCTACATTCCGTGCTATTATGTATTAAGTGTGGTTTCTCAAATTGAGTTTATTCATATATTAGATCGTTTTAACTTTTTGATTCTAAATAATCTTTAATATTCCTGAACAGGGCAAGGGAAACTCAAGAAGAAATAAAAGAGACAAATCAACTATGGTAAATCGTGTTTTTAAAATGGAATGCAATTTTATGCTTTTAGTGGTTTTTGTTAATAAAACAAATTATAAATGTTACTTTTAAAATGTTAAAGCATGAACTAAATATGATTTAACACAATTAATGTTTATTTAGATTTAACTAGACTAAAGTTTTTCAATGGTTTGGTTTGGCCATAGACAAAAAAGGTTAAAAGGTTTGTTTTACATATATGTGTTGTATATATGTATATTTGTTTAATTTGTTTAGTTTACATATACAGTATTTAGCTTGTGATGTACAGTGATTGCATTATGAACTGAAAACACTAAATAGTATATTTTCATGCAAAATGGAAATCAAATATTCATAAAATATCATTAAAAATTAATGTTAACTATTCCTTAATATAACTGTATTCATTCTAATTTAAAAATGCATAATGTTGTAATAATCCTAAACTCTTTCCACTGTAAACTCTTATTTTATATTAAATACTTACTGTATAATTTTCTAATTAGCTAATAAACATAATGCAAAATATATTCCATAAATATACAAACATTTAAATACATTCATAACAACCTTTTGATAGTCAACAAAACCAGCTCATAATTTGCAAGACCCAATTGCAGCTTTTCATCCTTGAAATATTAGTTACAAGTTTGTTGCTATTTTCTCATCTAAACTGTAAAATACAAAAAATAAAATGTCTAAAATGCTTGTTTTACTTTACAGTTCTGTTACATTTTCTTTTTGTTATACGAGTTTACAGTTTGATATTAATTCACAACTAATTATCATTTAATTTAAATTCATTCAATTCTTTAAGGAGGAGGATGTGTTGCATGAGGATATGGAACTTAAGAAATCTCAGGTAAGTAACTACTGTATCTGAAATACAGTAAGTCTGCTGCAGAATTCTAAAAACCTGAAGATTAAATAAAGGATTTTATATAATCTTGTAAGAAGTTGCATATTAATACCTGTATTATTAATCTCGTTGCTATTTTTAAAGGTAAAACAGTGAGGATTTGTATATAGAAAGTGAGGAATCTTTTGTATCTACGAATTTGCTAATAATAGTAGTTATTTTCTATCTACAAATTGTATTGTGTCTGCAATTTGCTAATTATAACGTCACCACTGACAGGCAATGTTGGTGGCCATAGTAATAGTTTTTAAGAGCTGAAAATGTATGTGAGAATCTTGTTTATGTTATCACTTTAAATGGCTACATAATGTTTTGGAAAGCACATTGACTCTGTCTTTGTAAACTACCTGTAAATATTGATACTCCTTTTAAGAATGCCCTCTTCTTGAATCCCAAGAGTTTATGACTTCTAACTCATTCATGGAGGAAATTATATCAGCTGGTCTAACAGGAAAAAGCGGGTAAAGTCAATTCTGGACTATGGCATTTTAATTATTTTTTTATCTCTTTAGGAGAACATCAGAATAGAGACCCCTCTGCACTCACAAGAGGATCAGGTCTGAAAATAATATTTTTCTAAACGTTTACACTGTAATTGTCAGCTAGCAGGGATGTGCAGATGTTCATTTTTGCTTTTCAAATATTTTTTAAATAAGTGCATTCTGTTACGAACCCTTGTTAATGAAGGTAAAATTGTCATTGTCAGTCACACAAAGCCAATCAGGTTAAAAGATTTAAGTTTTTGTGTATATTTCAACATTTGAATTACTGTACAGAGAACATAATTATAAGAAGCCTGTCTGTTCTAAAGATTATATTAATTTTGGAGAAAAATGTAAAGCATCACAAGCGAAAACCAGAATAAATTCTGAAGAGATCTGCATATCCCTGCATATTGAAGTTTGAAGGCATCTGTCAATGCTGATGTGCTTTCTAAACTAACTTCAGATTGATTCCTTATTGCACTGCATGCTCGGTAATTCCAATGAAAAGCCATGCTATTTATAAGGAATTGTTTATGTGAAGCTGCTAATCTTTGCATGGATGGCTTGAAAAGGTGCCTTGTTGACTTTTAAGCCTATAGTTGGGTTTTTTGTTTCAATCCCAAAGTATACTCTTTTGTATTGTGTATAATTTTAATTCAAATTGACATTTGTTGAATTTAATACATGCCTACAGTTCTGTCTACAGCTGTTCTACGGTCATGTACAATGCACCCCTAGATTTTCTTTTACAGCGAATTGTCAAAGTCTAGTTTTGAAAAAGTCCTTCTACTTCTAGATACTTCCCAAAATGAAATTCAACTGGGAGACTTGTTTGGAGTCTAAAAAAGTTTGACAGTATTCTTCTCTATAGTATGTCCTCAGATATGGGACTTTAAACAGAAATTTAAGACAAAGGTCAGATCCTAATCTTGCTTACTTCTGCTTTCCTATATATTTTTATTGTTTTCCCTTCCCCAATCCTCCTTTCTGTTGTCCCCATGGTAACTGATGCTCACTCTGCCCAAGGATGTGAATACACAGTGTCAGTTTAAATTGGGTCTGGGTCTCCTTGGGGAACCCTCAATTCCCCTGTTTCCCTTGCCCATCTCACAGCCCATCACAACACATACAGGGCCCTGCCCCCCTCATACTGGTGTCCAAACAGTACAGTGTCAGCCCTCAACTCATCCCCCACCACCTTTCAAAGCTTACACTTACAGCCCTGGTCATCCATGCTCCCAGACTCAGGTTTTTTCTAGTACACCAGAACTCTGCCTGCCATCAGTGGACCCCTCCTGACCAACCCCCATGATTCCTGACAATCATTCTGCTCTGTGGGTGCAAGTATGTGGCATCTGTCTCCTTCTGGGTCAGTGCACTAACATAGAATGTGAACTAAGATATAAACTGAGTTACAGTATTGAACCCCATCCAAAACTGAAAATCAGAGAATGTCCGCCTTAAAAAAACCAGGTCAAGGTGTTCACATTCATTATCTCAAGCCTGATTCTGTTATCAGCTCTTAGGAGTCTTTTTATTCCTGCTACTATCTGTGTTCATTCAAACCAGCTATCTTACCCATGGTTAATCAGCTAGTTCATACAGTGTTCTCACTAAAGCTAGCTTCAGCACTGATCACTTTTCCAGACACTCTTCTAAGATTGGCACAGCATCTTTCATAGTCCATTGTGAAATGCCAGTCTCCACCATAAAAACTCTAGGTCACATATCTGTATATCCAAACTGATTCAGTCTTGGAGCTTTTGGGGCTCAATTAGGGGTTTGGGCAGCCTCATCCTTGTGGTGATGCAGGCGTTCCCTCAGCTAGGCAAGTTAACCCAAACAATCTCTAATACTTTTCATGTCTATATTGCATTTATTAGGATCTGACCAATTCACTGACTTAGTTTGTAGAGAAATGATTATTACACTGGTGAGATAAAGAAAAAAAAATTGTTTCACTTTCTTGGAAAGAAAATCGCCCCATTCCTGACTCAAACCATAGAGAAAAACTAGTTTTTTGCTTACTTTAAATAACCTAATTCTTTCCACGTTTATTGCACAAAACATTACTTTACCTGTGTCAGAATGAATGTGTAGAGGTTCATACCTTTTGAGCATATTTTTCACATTTCTGTACATGTAAAACAATGGAAGTATATACAGTAACATACAGTCATATGATTTTTTTCAGTTTGCGCAATGCAATCCAAGAGATTCTGTGTAAGGCCACACCCTCAGGAGGCCTGTATAGCAAGACAGAAGCTACAATATATATTCCATATACTGTATATACCTTCTAGACTGTTTATAGACTGTATATACAGGTACAGTATACTTAATATACTGTCTAGAAGGCATTTTTGCATTTCTAGAGCATAATCTCATAAATAAAAAAATATTTTAGAAATTAGAAAAATGATTTTTTTAATGTAGTGCAGTACTTGAAATGAATTTTATTATTTATATTTGAAAGAATGTATTTCTGTGTTTAAAGCTAAATATACTAATCAATATTAAATGCTTCAGAGCTTGTGCTTTTGCTAACCCTTTGTATATTTCACCAGTGCAGATGGGGCCATAATTTAATTGAAAGTACTAATGTGAGTTGTTTATCTAGAGCTTTTATAGAAAATTAACATAGAATGTTAAATAACTTATAAACGTTCAAGTGATGGAATTTAAAACATCACACACAGTGTCAAATTATTTTTCACCAAAAGCAGATTTTGCCCAGCAGCAATTTACTCCAAAATCAGTTATTTGCTTTTCAATGACTCATTATGTTGTGGTGGTCAAATATAGTAAACATTTTAACTTATAAGTTTAATATATAAAACATTTAAGATTATATCAAAAGTTTTATACAAATGTGGAGCATTTTTTTCATGTTCAGGTGATAATTATTGTACGGGTTATTCTATAAATTATAATTTATAGCTTTGGCATTGATACACTAATATCTGAACTTAAAGTAATATTTTCAGAAAAATTGATAAAAAATAATAAGAACAATGGTGGAAATTTTGGTCTTCAACCATAGCTGAACCATACAGTAACAATAAATCTCTTCTAGATTTATCCCTAATTATGATGAAATAGGTATAGAATTATCTTAGAAATATTTATGGATTGACTTTTATGTCTTGCTGAATAACATAAAAATGTAATACTGTACTCTTAACAGCATTGCGCAAAGTGAAGTAATATATGCCATAAATATGATTCCCCTGTATACAGTGAATAGGGGCTCCAGGACTTGCAGATACAAAACAACCCCCCCCAAAAAAACCCATGTCTCAGTGGGCACACTGTTTTCACAACATCAGTTGTAACTTTTTATGTCAAACATAATTCTGATGAATTTAGTTTTCCATTTTATCTGACTGTAATACACAGTTCCAGTTGTCAATTTAGTATGGCAAATATATGTAGTAAAAGAGGTAGTATGGCAAATTTGATTTTCCTCTCTGTGGTTTGCTCTCAGAAGAGGCTTCTTTCTTGTAACCTGGTCATGAAGGCCGCTGGCAGGGTAGTTTTTTTCACATTGCTTAATCATGAGTGTGCAGATTTATGTTGGTGTGCTCCCTTTACAGATTTTACAGTTACCACCCAAATTCCAACCAGCCTTAAATTTCTTAATAAAGGACATTACAGTGGAAAGTGGTGGATTCAGATTTTTGTAGATTTTTTTTATAGCCATCCACAAACTTGCTTGCAGTCTTCAGAGAGCTCTCTAATTTTAACCATGATGACAAATTCTACTAGTGAATTCTTTCATGTGCTACTTCCATTGATGCTCTGGGGAAACAGGGAACCTTTGGAGGTCTTTATAAAACATTGTCACGCAAAATTATTCAGACTTACGTTAAGAGCAGGAGTATTCAGGCCCTGGAACTCAATATTTGGTGGAAGCTGCACCTTTAGTCTTTATGGTGACCCTCAAATTGGGTTTGTGCCTTTCATGGCCATTCTTCTTGGCAGATTTGTTCAAGCTCTCTCATGTTTGGGGAGCAGTTTCCAAGTATTTCCTCGGGTTCTCAGTTTTACTCATGTCAGGATGATGTTGACTGGATGTTCTTAATTTAGAGTAAGATGTAATGCTATGCAGGTACACCAGAAAGGTACAATTTTGTCTTGACCACAAAACCTTCTGCCACATGTTTGTGGTATCACATGCTTTGTTGAAAACTGCATATGGAATTTGAGACGGGTTTGCTATACTGCGTTACAGGCTAGCTTTGAGAAGTGACTAAGATATTTGCTGTCTCCTGGAAAGTTTCTCTTCTTTCATCCGTTGATCTCTGCATCTCATATGGGTATTCCTCACCAGTCTCTAGTGATCTAGACAGTGTGTCTGGGTGGTACAAATATATTTAAATTCTAGGTTACTGGTTAGACTGTGCTCACAGTGATATTTAGAGACTTCAGTACTTTGTACTGCTAACCTGTGCTTTTCAATGACTTCATGCCTGACGTTCTTTGAATACACTGTCTTCATGTTTGTCTTCACTTGAAATTTGGTACCTCACCAAGGAGACTCAAGGAGAACAAAGCTTTTATTCTGAAATCGCGAGTACAGAGACAAACACTAAATTTCAAATGATCCACAATTCTTGCAAAGAGAAAGAGGCCACTCAATTAATTTTGTCTTCTAATTTTGTGCACCTAGTTAATTTTGGTTTGTCACAGAAAAGTTTAAATACTTATGAGCTTGAATTATGAACTAATGACTTTTCGATTTTTCTTTAATATCAATTATCTATTTGCTTCTTTTCTTTTTTGCTTTCAATGTGAGGGTTACAGTTGTAATGTGAACAAGGGTCTGAATGTTTTCAATGCTCCTTATTTCTGGAGGCTTCCATTGCATTTACCAAAAAACATTTTTGTAGATTTGTTTGTTGCATTTTGTTTAAAGCAATACCTAGAGGTGTAAATAAATGTGGCCCGTGTGTTTTCTGGAATTTAACTAATTATTACTTTATTTTGTGCAATATTACTGTATTATGATAACAGTGTAACATTTTTAGATTTTTTTTAAGGAAGAAACATTATCCAATCCATAACTTATT